TTATTGTCCCACCGCTGAACTCGAACTAGCACACTCGAGTTGGCTGAATGAAGCACAACGCAGTGCTTCTCTTCTCTCACGCATTTTTACCGACAAGGCTTAGGTGTTTCACCCGGTTGGATTATGGTGACACCAAGAATTGCTTAGTCAATGAACCGCGCATCACACGGCCCACTTATTAACGTCACTTATAATGATTCTCAAAGTGTAGGTGTACTCTCTTCATGAAAAGCGATTCTACGTCAGCATGCTTTGGCCATATAAATTTTCGATCTACTCATTCTACCAAGTTATCATTCATCATCGACATATTTACTTTACACCGTATGGAAAACGATATGTTATTTAGTAGATTTCGATCGACCGTAGTTATCATTTATTATGAAGAATGAAATTTGTTGATACACTACACCGAGGTATCCTTACCTCGCGTTCTAACTTCCGAATTACTGCAAGTTTTATCGTGACATGCAAGCTCGCTGGTGATGCAAGATAATTCAAAACGCTGGAATGGGAGATAACGATCGTTAATGGAAAGGGAACTACATTCCTGTATGGAAATTGCGTCAGTTGCACCAATTCGATCATAACCTGTCCACAGAAAGCAACTTTTCGATATGCTAGACCGTGATAACATTCCCGCGTCGAACTTCAAGTGACTGTGCGATCATTTCATCGATTAAAATCAGCACCTATGTGAGTGAATGGTCACAAGTATTGCGTCATTCCAGTCAACAGATGAGTATTTCAAGGTGCCGCCCTTCGTTATTCTTATTTCTTTGACATGCATTGCCGTCAACTTACCACCTTGACTTTTACTTTCATGGATGCTGATTATATTTTAGTTGGTTGCTCTTCTCATACCCAAGATTATCCGGGTGTAGCGGGACCATTTATGTGTTTCAGAATGGCTCGAGTCCCTCAGTTTGTTTATAAATCCTGATCGATCTATTGTGATTTTCTACTTACGGTTGACCATCAGTCGATTTACTCGTGTTCACTGCCTGGTTCCGAGACTCGTGGTGCGTAGCTTCACCATGAAACGAGACTCCCACTTTAGATAACTTGTTGTTCATTCATCGCATCCAATTTTAAACGACAAAATCGTTCTCAAACATCGCAGATAGACATTTTGTTTCTTCTTTGACATGTACCACGGCAACCCGCCTCCCTCCCCCGACATTTACTTTAGGATTGTTCGATCTCGCTCACATTGTCCCCGGAAATATTGTTCTTCTACTTGTTGATTTACTTGCTGGCGATTGTGTACGAATCAGACGCGGAATAGACGGTATCCTACCAATGTGATTAAACTCCTTCCGCTGACTTGTCTTTACAGTATAGTAATTGCTTATCTTTTCCAAGGTGGATTCGTCATGTATATAGCAAATTATGTGTGAACTGAAAAGCTACGAAGCACTGGATAGCTGTTTCGACCTAGTTGGGTCTCATCAGCAGTGCGAATCCATCGACCCAATTGGGGATGGAATCCGGGACCTTACCGGTAGAACACAAGCATGTTACCCACTCGGCCACCGGGCAGCTACTCAGACCGTTTCTCATTTTCGATTTACACGATATAGCACAACCCATCTGTGCGAGCCTGTTGCCGGCCACATACCCTGCTCATCTCAGCATTAGCCTCCGGGTTATGACCCGGTAGCCGAGTTGTTAGCAAGCTTGCGTTCTGCTTGTGAGGTCCCGGGTTCGATCCCCAGTTGAGTCGATGGATTCGCACTGCTGATGAGACCCAACCAGGTAGAAACAGCTATCCAGTGCTTCCTAGCTTTTCAGTTCACGCTTCGTTTGCTATATATACGACGAATCCACCTTTGAAATTGAAACAAATCATCCATTACTCACTTGAAATTGCTTTCCTTATTGTGAACGACTGAGTAACTGTATCCAGTCTGACAAATCGCATCCTTTTCATGGTTTTCTTTCCCGCTCTGTATCTCTACGTCCTCTATTCGCATGACAACCGTCTGCCACTCAACAAGCGGTTTATCGTGCCGCAGTGCTCGTTTCCAAAAGCGCAACACTTTTAACGAACTTAACAGAGGTTCATCTCCAAACTACTAACTTTACGATTTCCACCTACCGTGTAAAGTGTTGCTATGCCAAAGCATCATGCATCTAGGTGAAAATTTGCCCCACTATGGACACATGAGTTGCGCTCTCAACTGGTTAAATTTACCAATGAGGTCTCAGATGAAAAAAGTTAAAGGCAAATAGTTTTGTAACTGAACAGTGACATATGCCAAATCTGCCATTGTTCCGTGGTGTTTAGAATCGCTTGTCACCTGTTGAGTTGTTGGACGGTGACAGACTTGGATTTGGTTTGATGACGGATTTCTGAATGTAGCACAGTTGTTTTGATCATAGACAGTGTTTCTTAGTTCTGGTAAAATTTTCACCATCATCGATTTGGTCCATGATCTTCGTAGCAAGAATGAGCGTTAGTCGCATATCTTGAATGCACTCCTGTGTCCAGTGTCTGCGAAAGGCGAATTCACTTTTTGGTTGAAAACCGAATCGAAAGCTGATAATGTCAGATGTCAATAGGACGAGAAGTCCGTGAGGTGCAACGGCTTCTGTTGAGACATATGTATCACGAGGTAGGTAGGGCTTTTTGATCTTTCTAACCAGCTTTAGTGAGTTCATTTCTTTGATTTACCTGTCGCTAAAACTAGAGCGCTGAATTTCCGGTTCATTCTTTTAAAACTATTTATCTATTTGAAGATATCATTTAATTTGACGTGTGTTTCATTTGATGAGTATAAAAAATTTCCCTGCGAAAAGTGAAACCACGAAATCTAAGATATGGATCCGATAGAAAAGACCGTTCCTGGATCACTCTTCGAGAACTCACTGCGACCATGATCGAATAGTACTTCGAAAGTGATGAACGTCAAAGTAGAGGATAATTGCATAAGATTAATTATAGCATGAATGGTTCATCAATGCCACCAAGTTCGGGATCTTTGGCAATTAGCAACATGTGGTCACTAGAGCTTAGTAAAACCGGAATCTCAATGATCAAACTAATATTTGACAGTGGTTTCTGCTCTGGACAATAAAACTGCTAACTTGACACTGAATGGCATGAATAGATAAAAAAGTTTCCTTGTCGTTTGAATACAACTATCATCTATCTAACTACATCTATCATCCCACCACCCTCACCATCATTCAAGTTAGGTCCTCGACTTGCTAAATTAGCTCCGCCGTGCATTATCTATTATTATTTTCGGACACATGTCTTGGAAGCACATCTGCACCCCGATAGTTGACAAGTCAGTAAACAGGAGCAGAATGATACTGAAATTATTTATAATGAGAAACAAATTAAGCAGTTTCGATTTTCCGCTCATCCGATACGCCACGACACATCGTTCGATTTTATCCAGCTACTCTCACCATTTGTTCTTTGTTGTTTGAACTATGCTCACTTGTGTCTTATGTTTCCTTTGTTTAACTTGTAAGCATGAATTCAATGTGTTGTTTTCACTGTATTTGATGGATTATGCGAAGCTCTTCGTTGCACATCGGTGCTAGTTCCAATATCGTTGCAAATTTCAATTGATTGAAAGAAAAATATAAAGAAAAAACTGAAACCAGCACCCGTACATTCCGATCGCTGTTCTCATCGCCCCAACCTCCATCCGTCCATTGCATCCCACATTATGGGTAATTCAAATTTGACCTCGCCCCCCCCCCACCCACCCCCAGCCTCGAATACACACTCGCAATCCACCCCGAATTCCCGATGGAAAGACTCAACTAAACCAATCAGTAAGTAGAGATGACCGAAACCGGTCAAGTAAGGTCTGACATCTCGACCAATCACAGGCAAGTTATTCTGCCAGGGCAGGGATTCCCATTTCTGACCAATCACATGTAACGGTAAGAGAATGCCGATCCGATATAAGCTCATGTGAGGAAGTTGTGTTATATTCCCACCAGTACCCCGTTTGTATCGTTTCTCTTGTTGTGTGCAATTTTACGTAGTGGATCATTTATAGTGCATGGAACCGGTCATGACGCCCACCTCAGTCAGGGTAAGTTTAATATATTGCCGCTTACCAATTTTTCCACGTATATATAAATATATTTTACAATAAATAGTATATGAATCACTGTACGATTTCCCTTGGAAGCCCACGACCGGTTGCACGGTTCTTGCAGCTCGTCAGTTAGCGTATCTGGTATATACATAAAAATGTATTACTTTCCTAATCGGTTATCTGTACGTGGTCGTTGAACTCAACACACTTAGGCATTTCCCGTCTTATCATCATTAATATAACACAGTCTGGCATCAATTTACCTGTACACATCGCACGATATATGTAGACATAATGAGTCTTGTGGTCATGTTCATTTTAAAAAGGGCTCCAGTTCAGACACCCCAGTCACATACTCAGGAAGTAAATCATGGGTTAGTGCATTTGGATACAACAGCCTGAAAAGCGCCTCGTATCAGTGAAACTAAATGATGACTAGTACTGATGAGCCCATTTTAAGTTTCACACAGCCTTTATTCTAAAACTTATTTTTATACATATATATATATATATATATGCATTCAAGAATGTGATTTCAATCGATAATAACGGAAGGCTTAATAGCCGACTTGTGGTGCAAAAATACCCAAATATTACACCACATTAGTTACCAAAACCTTGAAATCGTCCTGCATTGTAATGAATTGGGCCAGCAACTGTGCCTACATTTCAGTCAACAGTAGTCCAGGGGTACAAAACTGTCAACTGATGAGTGACGGGCAAAATGTGATCAGCTGGTTACGGACTTCACTGAAGTGAAGTCACACTAGATGCAAACGGGGCATCAAACAGAAGAGTTGAGTAATCTTAATACTATAAAGCACTACGTTTATTGAAATTTTATCTGGCAAATGAGTTGCATTTGTTTATCATTAAATTTATGTGGTCTTTTCTTCACTTATTTGATTTCACGGTCAACGAAACCAGGCTCAGATGCTTCAACGAGCAGCGCACTTACTAAGCGCCACTCAAAAAGAAGAAGCTTGGCATTTAGTCGGTTTATATCAACAAACTCAACCGCGAGCTTTCCTGCACGTTTGTCATCGCATCCTGGCTTCGTTTCTGGAGCTAACTCACGACTATTTTGACCAAGGTTGGCCATTAAACAGCCGCTTGATGCGTTTACCCAGCAGCTCACACGGATCCCAGCGGTCTCGTCGACATCGGCGCCAACGAACGAAGACATTCACTGGCTTGCCGAGCTACTGGGCTCCCGATGAACTGGATGAAGATTTTCTGGATGAGGCTGATATGGTTTCTGTTTTTCACAATCACGTTTGCATGTCTCCGGTTTACCATCACGTGACCTACTGCACGTCTCTATCCCCAGCCGGTAACCATGCGGCATCCACATCGAAACAGTTGACCAGTCTGGGAAAGCTGCGTAGCACATTGGCTGCGAAACGCTTGTTCAAACAAATCTTACCGTCGCGACCGCGCACACCAAGTACAACCAAACTGAACTATTTTGATCATACAACAACACAGCAAAAACATCAGCTTTTCGACGATCCCACAACGCCCACTAACCTTCCCACCCCGACCAAGAACAGCATGACAACAGGACCCACCGGCCGAACTCACATGGGTATGTTACGGTGCTTATTTTTCTGTGTATGCACGCACACATGTGCGTGACAATTTGCGAGCGATACACGAGCACTTTCTCTATCGCTCTCATGTTTAAGCATGCTTATTTCTGGTCCGCAATCCCTGGCCCGTCCGCGCGCGCATGTCTACCTGACCTCGGTTAATTATTTGCTCTCACTCTCTCTTAATCAAAGCCGCGTAGTCGCTCACAACTTGCCACATCTCGTGCTTTCTATGTCTTTGTGTGTTGTCGCACTCCAAATTCTCACGATTGAAAGGCACGTGATCTGTATCCAAATATCTTTGTCTGTTCCGGCACGGCTCATGTTCTTATTTATCTTCGACTGTTCGATAAGAGAAGGAAAAGGTCCGTTATTTGGTTTGTTCACTATTCGTGCTCACGTAATGGTTGTTTCGAAACCACTCCTCTTCAAACCCTCAGTTGTCGGGTGTCGGAGTCCAATGTTTGTTTCTGGGGCTCGCTTTTCAGTTCCCTCCCCCCCCCCATTGTGAGTGAGATGAACATGATTTGCCTTGCGATTTCGGCTAAAATGATCCATAACGTACGTTTTGTATATCGCAACAGCTCTAATTCGGTTTCATTAAAAATTAGTCAACAAGAACCACATCACTTAAGAAACTCTTATTTAATTTACCTACCCGTGGGCGGTTCCATTCACTGTCTTAGCGTTGGTTCAACGTTGCCGTAGCAACTGCTTTTCATCTGCTCGTCTTTTTTTAAACTAAACATCATCGTCCTCGTCGTCAAGCGAGAAATATTCAGGTTGTGCTACACTAAACGCATCCAAACTGTGCCAGATGAACTGACTGTCTGTTGACACGTGTCATGCACCTCTTCGATCGAAAATTCACTTGTGGTGTTTTGGGGACGACTGTGTTTGTTGTCCCCGTTGGCACAGACAACGGCTGTTTCTTTTGGGACGCACAGGTCTCCGGGTTTTTGATCGTGATGTTGCTGGTGGTGATCCCCTAAATCGACTACGTTTTCACACATCTCATGAACTGTCCCCTGTCCCCCTACAACACCTTCAGGTACTCTTCCCGGTTTCCATAACGGGACACGCGTTCCTTTGGCTCCCATTCATATGTCACATGCGTCCTCGTCTTGTACTGGCCCAGACACTCGTTCCATTCCCGCGTGCCAGTCGCGCATTTGTGCGACCAGTTCCACGACCGACAGTTGTTGCAACACGGATAGTCTGATTTGTCGATGCCTGATTGAATACATGCTTGACAATCCAGGTAAGTGTGATTTGATTCGAGCCAACCAACTTGTTGGTTGGCCCCGAAGGCGTAGTTTACGGTCACTGCATCACGTTAGGGTTCTTTATGGTTCACATGCAGTTCCACGGAGAAATGTGTCGGATGAGTCGGATATATAGTTTCCGTACTATTTTAATTTCCGATCAAGGCTTGCCCCGCTCGCATACGTGCAGCACACATGCACATGACGAGTGTCACTTATCCAGCCATCTGTTTGTGAACTTGACACACGTTCATGCCGGACGGTTATGAAAACGAAAGTGGAACGACCGCGGCATTTCGCTTAGCTATTCGTTTTATATCTTTTTCAATGCGTACCACTATGTAAATCCGCAATTTATGTTCCACGTGAAAGATGAAGAGATTAAAAAAAATTAAGTCTCGTTTGACTGTACCCGTATTGCTACTTGGCCTATACGCGGAAAAGGGCAAAAGCATGGCGCTTTCAAAAAGCATGAGCATATTCGTATAAGAGTTTACATGGCCACTCCAAGGTGTTCTTGAACTAACCATTATTTTATATATATGTTAAATCCCTTTTCAGCTCTATGCTCCACCGAAGGTCTGTTTCGTATCCCGGGGAACGCACAACGCATACGTGATCTTTGGGTCAATTTACGCGGATTTTTTCAAACCCCGTACATTCGAATCCCTCAACCGGATCCAGAATACGGACTTGAATGTGAAGTGGTGTCAACAAGATGTGATTTGTACAGTCTGTTGGATGCTTACTCACCACATGATTTGGCCACATTACTACTTCGATGTTTGACGACCTGTTCTCAGGTCACTACTTATCCGGTGACGAGTTCACATGGATCAGGTCTGGGAAGTGGAGCCAATATGGGTGGTTACAGCTCTGTGTCTAGTGCCATGCCTGGATACAGCATAAACGGGTCGAATGAGGCGATGCGAACCGGCTACCAATTTACTGCTCAAGATGACCCCGGTTTCGAACAATCTATCGGCGGTCTGATACACCCTGAAGCGAGTGAATTGTGCTTTCTCGCCACGCAACTTCAGTACGGTCTGGAGCAAGTCCAGGAACCGGATCAGTATGAGGATTGGATACATATGCTTTGCGAGGCTCGACAACTGTTAACATATCGTATAGTCTTACAGCTGCTGCTCCCGAACCCGGAACGTTTTATGCTATTCAATTTATTGCGCTTGTTCAAAAAAGTATCCACCACATGCCTGGATACAGCATAAACGGGTCGAATGAGGCGATGCGAACCGGCTACCAATTTACTGCTCAAGATGACCCCGGTTTCGAACAATCTATCGGCGGTCTGATACACCCTGAAGCGAGTGAATTGTGCTTTCTCGCCACGCAACTTCAGTACGGTCTGGAGCAAGTCCAGGAACCGGATCAGTATGAGGATTGGATACATATGCTTTGCGAGGCTCGACAACTGTTAACATATCGTATAGTCTTACAGCTGCTGCTCCCGAACCCGGAACGTTTTATGCTATTCAATTTATTGCGCTTGTTCAAAAAAGTATCCACCAGTCATTCCCAGTCCCGTATGTCAGCCGAATGTTTGGCTCGATGCACCGCGGTGGCCGTGTTCGGAGCACCGGCGCAAATGACCAGTCCGGATGTTCAACACAATCATCCTTGTTCTGTGGATAGTCCACTCCGATGGAGAATCGACACACTGACTAATCTGATCCACATGGTTGATGACTTGGACCAGTTACCCGGTGTGGTCTACAGTGCAGTACGAGATCGACTGCGTGTACGTCTTGGTCACTCGCCTATCCCTCGAGTCCAAGTTCAAACCGGGGTTGAAGGATTCTGTTCGCTTACCACCACTTGTGGTTCCTACTCGTCCAACTCTAGTGTACGTTGTACTCGACCAGGTCTGCTATCTGTGGACAGGGAGAACCGATACAAAAATGAAGCAGAGGCCCCAGCTCCAGTAAGTTGATCCGATTTTTGAGTAACAGTAGTTGTTTAAGTACAGCTGTTATTTTGTTTCGCTCTAAAGCTCCTAGAACATCTGCGCTTCCTCAGTAATGTAATGGTTGCATTTGTACCTGTTAACGTACTGTTTCGGAAACAGCATTCAGAATTGCATTTTACGAAGCTGCATATTGGTCGTAACAACAGCTGAAAACAATTCGATTGAATCAGAAATAATAGCTGTTAGGATTGCAAGATGAATGTAACACCACGCTTAACTTTATGTCTCGTAATATCGGTGTTTTTTCTGACTTCGTCCCATAGTCAACCTGTCACCATCCCTGTGTCGGTGTCAAATCACGCGCCGATCAACCAAGTGTCACATCCACTCTGGTTCATCGATCCTCCGCGCGCGCCAGTCTTCATCGGGCCAAATCGTCACTTGACACGGGATCAAGGCAACGTGGTGCGCGTGGTGCCTCAGGGACCACGGAACCGTTCAAATTATGGAGACGTCAGAAAACGGCTCAAGTGATCCCCAGCGCTGGTTCCGTCGGTGGTCGAGCCCTGACAAAAGCGCGAAGTGTCCTTCTATTCAGTCCGCAAAAATCCAGCTCATCCGGCAATGAGCGAACAGCCAGTTAAAGAAAGGGAATCCGATCATCGCTGCCGAGCAGTTCTGTGATATTTTTCTTGCTCAGGCGGAAGATTTACAATCCCTTTACTGTGGTGTGCTCGCGTGGAATAGAGTCAACGAATTTCTATATGCGTGCTTGACCGTATGAAACATTTGTAACTGATTACTATCTGCGACTTCCCAAACTTCGTCTTTCGCTCCATTCCTTGTTTGACCTGCCCCCTCACCCTCTCTCTCTCAGTCCTTAACTATAATGATTGTGCACATTATGTCACAAATTTTATACTATTCATCTCTATTTTTTCACGGAAAAAGGGTACAATTGTTTTCATTAACAAATCGAAATTTAACTACTCTTGTACAGTAGGTGAGGCTGTAAAAAATGCAATACAATATTATGCGTGATAACCGAGCGTTTTTCTCTCCTGTGTTTGCCGCACGGTCGCCATAATCGTCACACGGTACTGGTCACTATTTGTCAAAGTTCAGTTCCATGTTGTCATGTTGTATTTGGTCGATGACTCATTCCGGGCCACGCACGTGCTCTCCATCCATGATTTCTCAACCCTGCCTCTCCCCCTCACATTAGTAAATGCTTGAGTGAGAACAATGGATCACTCTTAGCCCGCGCATGATGTCATACACCTTGACAACGTTTTCGTAGTTTTTTTGTATGGATTAGTTCACACAACCGGAAATGTGTCGTGCTCATTAGGTGACCTAGCAACTGGACATGAAATTTTTTTTGAATTTTTCGTACGACGACATCCTATGGAGGAGGGGTGGGGGCTACAGTATTCCTGTGTTCTTGTTACGTGGATAAGTATTTCCCTGGCCGGGAGGGGTCATAGAATGATGTCACTCGGTTATTTATCGGTGCAACACTGGGCGTGCGGTGGTTAGAGAACTAGCTTTAGGAAATAGCTTAATAAATGACCTCACTACGGTGTACGAAGACAACGAGACTAATAGTCCCGATGGTAGGATGTTTTGTTCGTTGAACAGACCCGAAGAAAACTCATTCGTATTACGAGGATAGTATTTATCGGTTGACCTGGACCTTCTTAGCTCAAGAATTTCCTTTTTGTGGGTGGTTCGAGGCATTTGGAGGCAAAATTGATCAGTTATATGGTAATGGTAACCTCGCCGTCCTTGGTTTACGTTGGAACAGTACGCGTAGAATGTGTCGTTTGCCCTATTGTGTACGCGAGTATCGGAGGGCGGAGTTAAAAGAACCACAATACTGATCAGAAGGTAGTTCACGAAATATGACATTCCCCGTGTTGGTAGTTTGCAGCTTCGCTGTCATTCGGCTCAGTACTGCGCCTAAGTCAGTCGGGCCTTACGTGGGTCACCGCTCGAAGTCCCGAGGCTTAGATTGTCGGACCTTGTAACTATAGGGTTTACCTCTTCTTCCGTTGATTACGTGAGTATTAAAAATCTTTTGTTTCCATCGAGGCTAGTCCAAGTACATGTTAGGACTATACAAATTTATGTAGAGTGTACAGTGTTATGATGGGATTATCGGTTTACATCGCGTTGATTATGCTTTCATTCGAGGACCTGGATATGCTTTATTCCGACTTAGCCGACTGTTGATGTTGGTCGTTTAACATCGATATTTAATACAGGACGGCAATCCAAGCGAGGCACGGAATCAATACAACAAATAAACTGCACAGTTCCCTATTTCTTGAGTAAATCACAGCTAGCTGAAGGGCTTTTTGCTCAAATAGATTTCAGCATCGTTCATTCGGCGAGCACTGGTTGTACACTTATCACTAGAAAGTCCGCACAACCCAGACTTATTTTGGTTCAATGAACTGACGTCAGTGTGTGACCGACCAGCTTGTTTTGTGGTATCAATAGTCGCATAAAATGTGATGAGCGTGACCCTTCTTTGGGTCAAGTACAAACGTTAAAATTGTGCGCACTATGAAGGATAGCTCAATGGAAAGGGTATTTTGATCTCGTCTAGACACGTTTTCTATCCCGTCCCTCGTTCCCCGGCTGACTGACTGGACTTCCTATATCGATCCATTGATCAGCAAAATATGACAGATTTATTCGTTAGTTCGAAATGCAATGAAATACTAGATCATTTGATATTCTATTCACAAATATTTATCAAGAATATTTTCGAAATGTTGAACAAAAGTAGGTGAGTGCGGTACGGTTGATAGCAAACATGAGGTTTTACATTTGAGTGTTGTTTTTGTAGGCAAACCAGTGATAAACATAGGGAAGCGAATAGTTGATATCTATTTCGTCCTAACAATCCAACAACAACGTTAATTCTGTTGATAATACCTCTACCCGCATAAGAGAAGAACCACAATGTCTTTCGCACGCCATCATCAGTCCAGTTGAGTTTGTTCCATCTTTGCTCTACCCGAACCAAAGCTCGGAGCACGAACGCACTCCACCGTGGGACATGGGTCACATGGTACAGTCTCGTTCCCATGTACAGCGGTCGCCTGGACCCTGGAAAAACGACCTCTTTTAAGGACATTGTGCTGTTCTCCTGTTGGCGTATCTAACCCAGGTTGATCGCTTGCACCCACCATATTCGTGTCAACGGCTGCGATATCTGTATTCCAAGCGTGTATTGCAGGTGCGCGCGATGATATTCCACCCTGAACAGTCAATGTGCCTAGTGGGGAATCCAGTTTGAACAAAGACCGATTGCTTTCGTTTTGTCGTATTGGTGCTTGTTCAAGGTCACATGTGAATGCCTATTTCCGTTTCCAGCAGTTCACATTGTTTGCTTTGCTGGACCTTTAGAGACCTTGACTTTTTTGTACCCCATCTTATCACAAATAGTTGGGACTGGATCGATCAATTCTGTCGTTTGTAGCCGCACATTTATTAATAAAACTTTCTAAACTCCATGTGCGGAATATGGTTCAACTTAAAAGGAAAATGTTTAGTTAATAATAGGTTCCCTAGACCCCACCTGGTGAATTTTCACCATTTTTGCCGAGGTAAAGTGAAGAGATCTATCCGATAAAGTTGGGAAGGATTGTGAGGTTATTTGCGTACAGTAAGAGAGAAACGAAAAGAAAATGACCCCCGCCCCTCCCGAAATGAAGTTTAAGAGGGAATGAGAATTTGCCGATGCAAAAATTGAATTGCGTCTTACATTAGGCACAATTGACAATGACATTGAACACATTAAGTTCGAGGCCGCAATCAGAAAGTCGGTTAACGGGGTTACCGAGATCAAGGTAACCATAATTATCAGCATAATCGAACGAAATTAAACAAACATTTTCGGACCCTTCATCTAAGGAGAAAGCTATGGAATGAACAACGTGAAAGATAACATCCGGAGTGGAATGCGAAGATTTGTAAGCGGATTGAAGACGGTCTCGTGCATCAAAGAAAAGAGAGGACTTTCAACTGTTAGCGTGAAAGTAATCGACGAGCGTTTCTTGTAAATGGGCAGAAATCGGGGAACCTTTCAGAGGGCGTGCACAAAGTGAACATCTCATCACGAGGTACGACAACCTGTTCGCCACACTTCCTACAGTACAGCGGCGAATGAAGTAGGGTCTTGCGCCTCCATGATCGGTATATCAATCCGGTAGTGTAAAAACCCTATGGAACAAGAGAAGCAACTGCCTGCAAGTATTTTTCATAATAAAACATTGACTTTGGATGGGTGTTGAGTGACGAATTGACAACTTAACTCTTCTACATCGAGGCGACTTCTGTTGTGTACCACCGAGTGCTTCACTACTGACCACATCTCGACAGTTTTTGTTCCCAAAATATTTTCAATATGCATCCAACTGGGACACCGTCTCTCCTTCTTGGCTGAAAGTAGAAGTTTGCTCGTGACAGTGACAGAGACCTTTGCTTTTCATCTAAGGTAATGGGAATCTTTCGGTACGAATGTATAAAGTCTCAAACGGGCAAAATAGATCAAAGCAAAAATTAGGATTATGCGTAAGGTTTTCATGTATGAAAAAGTTTTCATTTTCGGTGAAGGAAGCCATGCCATCAAGGCTAGTGACGTAATCCGATGAATGGTATCTCTCGTTTATGGTTCTGGAGACCAGGAATAGTAGATGATGACTATAATCACCATAAATGTCCTGGTGTAAGTAAATCCTACAATGCATCAAGTTGCAGACCCGGGCACGGTTTTCACCAGGAAACCAAATCATTTAAGGGGTTGTTTACGAAGAGATCATCAGACTGGAAATCGAGTGGGATGGGAGAAATTTACATGACTGATGCTGTTCTGTCAAAACGATTACAATCATTGGTCTAAACGGGACACAAACAATGGAAAAAGAATGAGCGACAAAAAATACAATAGCAGAGGCACCCGCGATATAAATGCTGGCCAGTATGATATGATGAAATCCAGTGCGGAATCAAAAATACCATGTCCATTAGTAAAACTGACAAAACTGACTACTCCATCACCTTCGGTTTGAATGCTCTTTTGCGATAACCTCGGAATCCATCAAGATGAACGATTTCATTTTCGTCAAACCAAGGTGACACCTTTATTGATAGTAGAAAATAGAACGTTTTTGGATGATGAAGTTTTCGTGCGCTTTCTCGCACAGCGATCACTTTAGTACATAATCACGACGGTTTATCATGGCTAAACAAGTTAGCTACGAGTAAATAGAGTCGCACGATGAAGAGGTAATCATGCTTCGTGTTTTGAATCGGTCAATATGGAGACAAGTGGAGATTTGGTCTATTAAAACAAGTCTAGAATCTAAATTCGAAGAATACCTGATTGGAAAAAGAACAACAAATTCGAGCCACATATAACATAGGACAAGCACGAAATCGTTTAGGAGCCAGAGAGATGCTAATCAAATGCGATGTTGCAGCTGATATTGATCTACAAGAACTGTATCATTTTGCCACATTGATCAAATGTTCCATAGAAAATGGTTTTAAAAAATTGCAGATTTCAGTTTTTTCAGATTTCAAACGATCAGAAAATAATTTGAGCCATCTGTCCGATTGAATTGTTCTC